GTTCAGAGGTTTCACACGTACAAATTATGAATGCCTTGAGAAAAATTCAACATACACACGGTGGTTCCATACTATTTTTAGTTGAATCCAGCCCAATATATGTAAGATTTGATGCAATGCTGATAAGTGCATAAGAAAACTAGTATGATTTTCTGTTAAATTGCATATGTCTGTATTTGTGTTAAAAAACAAGAAAGTATTACTAATGCTGTGGTTTCATCTCTGTAGCTGATTATGACTGGAGTTGCCGTTCTTGTGGTTGACAAACTTGGTAGAAGACCATTACTAATTGGTGGTGTTAGTGGAATTGTAAGTCTGGCTTCAACATGTAGATTTCTTATTTGAATATGACGAACTGCAAAAACATAACCAAGTTGAAGTTAGTATTCAAATGATTTCTGTGTAATGAAATGATATATTCATATAACTGAATAATATATTTTCATGCATAACTATGTGTCTCTGTGGAACAAGGTATTGTTAACTTCAAATATACCCCAATGTCGAAGGCTATCAGGGGCTAGGAAGCATGATATTTTTTTTTAAAACGATACTTTGATGGAGATGTATCCTCACTTATTCACACTCTCCTGTTGATGGTTGTTATGTGCAGGCTGTCTCCCTATTCTTATTGTCTTCATACTATACCTTGTTTACGGGTGCTCCTTATGTGGCTGTAATAGCACTTCTACTGTATGTTGGCTGCTACCAGGTACTTACAGAGTCGGCTTACCCTTATTTGCCATAAAAATAGTACAAGATGATTCGAGGGAGGAATATAGTTGGCCTTGCCTTTCTGAAATACTAGTTGGCTTGCATTTACACCAAACTTTGAGCAGTTAAACTTTACCTGTGAGTTAAATTTGGCTCTTTGGCTATCTGATGAGAAGTGGTTACTTTGCAGTTATCATTTGGTCCGATTGGCTGGCTTATGATTTCAGAGGTTTTCCCGCTGAAGCTGCGTGGCCGTGGATTGAGTGTTGCTGTTCTTGTGAACTTTGCCTCCAACGCGCTTGTCACTTTTGCTTTCTCCCCACTAGAGGTACAAGCCTGCTGCTCTTTCCTTAGTTTTTCCTTGGTCCTCGGAGTGTATTATCAAGTTAATCCTTTCTTAAAGTTTAGTACTATCAAGTTAGTGATCTTTTCATTTTTCTGCATTGCACTGTAGGACTTGATTGGCACTGGGGTTCTCTTTGCTTCGTTCGGGGTGATTGCGGTGGCGTCTCTCACATTCATATTCTGCATTGTGCCCGAAACAAAAGGGCTCACCCTGGAAGAAATCGAAGCCAAACTGTAGATCCAACTATCTGTAGTCTCATCTTAGTTAGCATCTTCTTTACTGCTCTTATTACTCAGCTATTTTGTAAGCGTAGTATTACATTGAGAAACTACTTATTTTTCTCTGAATAAGATATATATCTAAATAGAAGGTGTCCAAGTGGAAGCGTCTTCATGAGGGAAAAACCGTCGAAGGGCAGAATCTGTGAAATCTAGAAAATGATGTCTCAATGGAAAAAACTGAAATCAAAACGTGTGCAAACACACAGAATCGATGAAAATTTAGATAATGACATCCAGCAAAAAGCTGTTTAAGCACATAAAAAAACCTACCAAGTTTGTGATATACGTGAAAAATGAGGTTCTATTGGAAAGATACTCTCAAGCAAAATATTGTTCGAGGGCATACCAAAAAAGTTCTGTACCAACACCCATGAGTTAGATGAAATTTCAGAAAAAAAATGGTATTGCCTGAGAAACATCTCTGGCGAAACACAGTAGGAAGTATATAAAATCAGGAATCAGTTCGACCTTCTTTTTTTGGTAGAAATAAGCTCGGCCTTTTTTTGATTATCTGACAGGAATATCCTTAACTAGGCTAACTTTTTAATCTGCCCAATTATTGAGTAGCCATTACACAACTCAAATACACATGACAATTTAAAATCTATGGAGACTAATACATATTGTACACGACCTATGAGTAACAATTATATAAGATACAATGTACTTGCATTGTCTAACAATCCCATGTTCCCTAGCATGTGCAGATGTGCCCATACAATTGGTTAGTGTTAGAGTACGTAATGGTCCTAATGGGCCCATTAGTCTTAGAGTTAATTAGAGATAAGGTCGCTTGCTTAGGAGTCAAGTAAGCCTTGCTTGGGAGTCAAGTAAACCTCTCTATATAAAGAGAGGAGATGTATCAATCTAATCAAGCAAGAATTAAGAAGGAAATCCCTTCCCTCTTGCCCGGCCGTGGGCAGAAAGGCCCCCGGCCGGCCCTCTCACGCCCTCTTTCTAGCAGCACCATAACAATTTGGAGTGTTAAGAGTATGTAATGGGCCTAATGGGCCCATTAGTCTTAGAGTTAATTAGAGATAAGGGTCGCTTGCTTAGGGGTCAAGTAAGCCTTGCTTGGGAGTCAAGTAAACCTCTTTATATAAAGAGAGGAGATGTATCAATCTAATCAAGCAAGAATTAAGAAGGAAATCCCTTCCCTCTTGCCCGGCCGTGGGCAGAAAGACCCCCGGCCGGCCCTCTCACGCCCTCCTTCTACCAACACCATAACAATTTGGTATCAGGTAGCTCAGTTCCGATCATGTCTTCGCCGCCGCCCGCCCGTCGCTTCCGCTGCCGACCGTCACCACCGCGCCGCTGGCCATCTACACCGCGCCGCTGCCCTCCTCGTCCATGCCGTTGGTCGCATCCTCCGGCGCCGCCACCGCCCAGATGCCGACGCCCTCCACCGCACCACCGGCCGCCGCCTACACCCCGGAGGAGATTACCGGGGTCCTCAACGACCTCGTCACAGCCGTCCAGGGGATCCGACTGTACCTGGCCAGCCCCTACGGGCCGCCGCCGACCGCCGCCACCGGGCCGCCGGCCCTGCCGTGGTACTCGCCGCATCCAGGGGCCTCCGCGGCGTTCACTGGGACACTGCAGCCCCAGCTGCAGCTGCTGCCGCCGCCCGCCGCTACCCCGCAGTGGCCGCAGTGGCCGGCGCCGGCTCTCGCCGCGCCTCCAGCACCCATCGCCGCCCCCGCGCCGCTGTGGCTGCCGTGGCAGCCGCCGCACCAGGCGGCCTTCGCCGCGCTCATCGGGCCACTGCAGCTGCCATCCATCGCCACCACTGCCCAGCCCTGGCTGCAGTGGTACCCGCTGCTCCTGGCGGCCTCCGCCGCGCCCGGCGCTTCGCCGCAGCAGCCGCTGCCGTTGCCCGGTGCGCCACCGCAGCAATCGCTGCAGCTGCAGCAGCCACCGCCTGTCAGCTCCGGCCCCGCATCGACCGCACCGGCGGGAGTCCCACTTCACCAAGTCCAGTCCCCGCCGTCGCCGTCACCGCTTCCGTCTTGGATTGCTACCCGCCACATGTCGGCGGCGGTGAGGCTGCAGGCTGCTGCGCGCGGCCTCCTAGCGCGTCGGTGTGTGCGGGAGATGCGTGGTCTGCAGCTGCCGCTCCTCCAAGTTGCCCTTTGCTGCGCAAAGGACCCCGATCTCATCCGCTGCGTCGGGGATCTTGGGCATGCGGTTTCCCCCACGGGCGGGGGCATGCTGTTTTCCCCGCGGGCAGCGACCTCAAAGTCTGCGACATCGGCGGTTGGGGGGCGCACCCCTCCTTGTCATTCTCCATCGCAAGCCCTCCACTCTTCCCTGTGCGGTGCAAACCAACAGCCGTCCGGCAGGGAGAAGGCATGATGTCACCGACAGGAGCGCACCGCGTAGCACCACTGCATTCCGCCACCGACCGCCGCGAGGGCGCCTTTGCTGGTCACTCTTGCGACCACTTTCAGGTGGTCATACACATGCACTCCTTTTGTCCAGGTGGTGTCCATGGGATCCAGGTGGCTGTACACGTGCACGTCCGACGTGCGGATGGTGTCCACTTTTTGTTAAGGGGTCCAAAATAAAGCGTCCCAGTCCATTTTAGGTTGAGAATAATAAAATAAGCCGAGATGTAAAAGGCTTGTTTTTAGGTGTTAGGTTTGTATTGCGTCGAGTCATGGTTATAAGTTGGTTAGGTTGCAGCTCGAGGACAAGCTGCATGTTTAGGTGGGGTGTAGTGTTAGAGTACGTAATGGGCTTAATGGGCCCATTAGTCTTAGAGTTAATTAGAGATAAGGGTCGCTTGCTTAAGGGTCAAGTAAGCCTTGCTTGGGAGTCAAGTAAACCTCTCTATATAAAGAGAGGAGATGTATCAATCTAATCAAGCAAGAATTAAGAAGGAAATCCCTTCCCTCTTGCCTGGCCGTGGGCAGAAAGGCCCCCGGCTGGCCCTCTCGCGCCCTCCTTCTAGCAGCACCATAACAGTTAGACATTCAATGACCTCTGAAACATGATCATTAATCAATATGTATGCTGGTCAATTAATTTGAATCGTCATATGAGTTCAGACTAGGGACTTATTTGGAATATTCATTCTTTAGTCGTTATTTAGAATATTTATTAGACAGATGAATATGGACTTTCATAAGCAAGTCACATACTTGCCCATGATTGTTCAAGTACATTACTAAATAAATCATTGAACATGGGTAGCATCTTGGGCATATTCCAAACACATTCTTCATCGACCCTTTTTTAAATAGGGGAGGGAAACTATGCTGGATTGAATCCAGCTTTGGTCAGTTCATTTCTTGTATGCAGATTGATTGATGATTCAGTCCGATCCATATCTGCATTGGCTGAGACTTTGACGATCTGTTGGTTTTAATTCATCTCAGCTTTGAAAGAAATTTCTGAGGGTTTGCCCTGCTTGCACCTAGTTATCATCTGCATGCATACATGTCAATAAAAATATCAGAAAGACCAGCAGCACTTCATTGTCCCTTTCTTTTATTTGACTTTATTTTGAAATTATCAGCTAGCTAGGCTTGATCTTGGCTCATCCAAAAGAAGGAATTAAGAATTTGTTTCATCTGTTGGAGTATGTAACAACCAAGGAAAATCACATAGCTTCATAACTGGATGCATATCCTGACAGATTTACTAGATGTGCATCATCAGTGCATCTTGTCCTTGCGTATCGGCGTGAGCTGAATTGGGCAGCCATTCTTTAGCCTCGGAAACATTGCCCATTTCTCAAGGCTTGTATCGTGGTCTGCCATTTCCCATCTGAAAACATCAGAATTTTTTAGTTTTATTCTCCAGCTCTAGCTGTTTGCATCAAATAAAGAAACTTGGCTTTAGAGTTGAAACCTGAAATTTGTGACAAGGCGATGAAGGAATATTAGCATCATAATCTTGGCAAGGTTCATCCCCAGGCATGTTCTGCTGCCTGCTCCAAATGCCAAGAAGCTGTATGGCTTCATATCATCCTGTCCATAGAAATACCATCAATCTGTCTATATCACAAAACTATATAAATCTAGTACTCCCTCTCCCTCCGATTCATATTAGTTGTCGCTCAAACCGATGTATCTAGCACTGAAATACGTCTATGAATACGTCTAGATACATCCGTTTGGACGACAAGTATTATGGATCGGAGGGAGTATAATTTCTTCAGGCTTACAACAATACATACATTGAACCTGGAAGGATCAAACACTGTCGGACTGTCATAGATGGTTGGATCATAGTGTATGGATCTCGCATCGACATTTACGAGCCAGTCCTTCTTAATGTGGAATCCTGTTGTTACTTGTTTCTGTTAATGGTAGCTTCCAGCAATGAGAAAGAAAATAAATCAGCGAGGTTTAGTTACCTGCAACCTGGCAGTCCTTGAGTGCCACCCTTGGAAACCAAGAAACTATGGTGGCCATCCTCAAGGATTCTTTGACCGTCTTGTATGCGTAGTCCATGGTGTTCAGATGTTGTAGGGTAAGAGGTGCATCATTGTGCTTGGATGCCAGATCCAGCTGAACTGACTGCATATACGTATACAGAGAGAATTGCAATCAAGAAATGAAGTAATTTATTCTTCATACATGGGCCAAATATGCAGCTTGCTCACTCTTAGTTTCTCTTGGAGATCTGTGTTGTCGCCCAGGTACTTGACCATCCAGGTAATTGCTGTTGCTGTTGTCACTTGCCCTGCACTCAGTTACAAACAAGGCTTTGTTTGTAGCTAAAATAACTTAAAGTCTTTGTAGTTAAGAACTAAATTAGGACTTGCGTACATGTATACCTGCAATTATGAGTGTCAAAATGTTATCCAGAATCTGTTCATCCGTGAGCGCTTCTTCAGGTGAATCCATATGGCTCTTGAGAAGAAGGGTCTGCAGAAAGTCGTCCCGGTGATCTAGTTTCAGGCCATTTTCTCGCCTCGTGGATATTTCTTGCCTCAGTGCATCCATGATCCTCTTCCTTGCCTGACATCAAAAACAATTTGATACAAAGAATCTAGCTAGAAATCGTTCCCTTGTGATGTACAGTAGTAATTAAAAGCATGTATACTTGCGCGAATCTTGGTATCTAGTCAATCTAGATCGGACAGTGATGGTTTCGAGTGGCGAAAAAAGTAAAAAGAAAAAAGCAAAACTGTAAAAACATTAGAAAAAAAGGGTACCTGTAGGCCTCTGTAGAACCTTGTTCGAGGCAGCCTGATTGGCAGCGCGAGCATGGCTTGCGTTACGTCCATGACGTCGCTCTGCAGCTGCTCCAGCTCGCGCGTGTCGTCCCGTGGCCCGATGAGCATCTCGCAGATGGCCCTGAAGGTGACGTCGAGCGCGGCGTCCAGCACGACGGCCTGGCCCTTGCAGCCGTCGGCCAGCAGCCGGGCGGTGATCAGGCGGTCGAAGGCGGCGGCGAAGGCGGCCGTGGGCGCGGGGGCGAAGAGGCCCGCGACGGCGCGGCGCATGCGGCGGTGGGCGCCGTGGGAGGTGCAGAGGAGGCTGTGCTCGCCGAGCAGGTCGGCGACGGTGCGCACGTAGCGCTTGGCGAAGTGGGGCGGGTCGGCGGCCAGGAGGCTGGCGGCGGCGGCGCGCGCGCGGGAGGAGAGGAGGAAGACGTGGGTGCGGCCGAAGAGCACGGTGCGGAAGCAGGCGCCGTACCGGAGCGCGCGGGCGTGGACGAAGTGGTAGAAGCCCCTGCCGCTGCTGTTGTCGGCCAGGAAGGACAGCGTCTCCGCCCCGACCGCGCCCCGGCACCAGCCGCCGATGCCTCCCGGCGGCGGGCTCCTGCAATCCTGCCGGAGTTGTGAAGCACGTAGAGCGCGGAGGAGGAGGTAGGCGATGCCGCCGACGGCCGCGGGCAACAGCAGGACGTGTGCGGCCGCAAAGCGCCATGCCAGCTCCGCCATCGTCGACATCATCTCCGGCCGGCGCTCGCGAGCTAGTGACTACTAATGTGATTTCACACTGGCGCTGGCAGGCACGCATATCTAAGCAAGCATGCACGCGCGCCATATATGACCGAGTCGGTCGGGTGCAACCATTCTCCAGATCAATCATGGCGATGGATCCTGGAAGGATACCTGATCTGATGGATTCCAACCGCACTTGCGCTAGTTGCATCGATCGCATCTTTTCCCGCCGTCCTCGGCCTCACCTCGCTCGCGTTTCAAGATGAGTATCATCATCTCGCTGTTCATGCAAATGGGTAGTTGACGAGATGCCGGGTTTCATTCCATTTGCATGGCGAGTGCTGTGTGTCGTCATGATCTTAGCTTCCAGGGCAGGCAGGCAGGCAGGCAGACATGACCAACCAGCACGAACCAAAGTTCAGTCAGCTTTATTAGTTGAGTTGTGTGTTTTCCCATTGACTCAACGGCCGCATATTCTGGTCTAGTCGAGGAGTATCTCGAGGAAGAGGAACCCAGCCAATTTCCCACTAACTTAACCAGTGATGACTTGTCGCCCGCATATCTATGGGCCGCATATGGCCTTCGATCATGCATCATCATATCATTCGTGTTCACCATCGCATTCGTGTGATTAACCTACCTTTGCTAGAGTAGCTACTGGTGAAAGTAACCACTTGGTTTGATTAATGAAAGTTCCTTTCCCGCAAAGAGATAGATAGATAGAGAGAGAGAGCAGCTACTAGTGTACTGGAGCTGACGAAGAAAAGTAGACACGGAGGAGATTACTGCTCTCTTTTCTACTCCCTCAGTTCCTAAATATAAGAAATTGAAATATCTAAAAGGTCTTATATTTAGGAACGGAGGGAGTATATTTGATTGATGATGACCAGATTCAAGGTTCATCTGATTAATGAGCTATCATGCAGAGTAATTTCAATAGATTTTTTGATTATATTTTGGTGGGTATACTTTAAACCCCGGAATTTCGAGCCAGATAAAAACGATTCAAAACAAAATTAAATTTAATCAAAATTAGTTAAAATTAAGTGAACTTTGAAAAATCTGAAAGGATATCTGAAATTCCCGAATTTTTGCATATTGGCCACGCTCCTCCGTTCGAGCCCGTGTTATTCAGAGCATAAAGAATTATTCTTATTCGAGAAAAGAATCCGAGCGTGGAATTTCTTCAAGGGTGGAGAAAAGGAGGGGGATCAAAGTCACCATAGATCCGGGTGGTACGATTGTCACCAAAAGCTTTTCTTTTTTGCTTCCACTACGAATGCACGCATGATATGTGGCGTTCCCCTTGCCCTTGGAATCGTGAGTGTTAAATGTGCGTGGAATATTTTCAGCACAAAGACATATGCCGGCGAGTTCAGTGCGTAATCCAGGCCTGAGTGCACGGGTTATCTGCACGTGCGAGGTCTGTTCGGGAACGTGCAGGTGCTGTTGCGCAATGCGCAATTTCTAATGCTCATTGGTTATCCAAGTTGGACATTTTTCCTGAACAGATAATATCTCAAGTTCATCCCTATGGCGGTGTGCACCACATGATGCAGAGGGCGGGGGTTTCAGCCTCTTTTTCAAAAAAGAACAGAAAATAAAATAAATTCTCAAGTCCTTTTGTGTTTGTGACGGCGTGTACACAATCCACGTACGAATGCAATTGGCCTTGGTACCCTGACTTTAATTCTTTTTAGTTCATTTGGTTGAACAATGTGGTCACCCACTATGCATATGGAACACTAGTAGTAATCGCCTTATTGCGTGCCTTAACGAGCCTCCTCTCTCTCCTGATCATCACAAGTAGTTCCGTCACCTCCGTCATATCTGGTCGTTCCTTACTGTCTTCTTTCAGGCACTCAATTACAACCTTGCCAATTTCTTCCAGGGCGAACATATTGTCTTCAGTTGCAATCTCCTTGTCAAACATTGCTCGTCCACTCTTTTCTCTCTCATAAACTTTGCGGTACTCATCGACGAGGATGCGGTTTTCATCAAATATGTTCTTCTTCCTGGTAATGAGTTCCAAGAGAATAGCTCCAAAGCTGTAGACCTCACTCTTTAATGTTACATGTCCATCTTGCATGAACTTTCGGTCCATGTAACCCATATTATGCAGCATCAATTGGTTGCGTGTATCACTTGATTCAGAGGCCTGTAGCCTCATCTCCTCTAAACTATAAAGCCTCGAAAGCCCAAAGTTTCCAATTTTTGGTGTCAACTTGTCATCGAGAAATATGTTGTTCGGTCTGACATCACCATGTCGCATGGGACAATTTGCGTAGGAGTGCATGTATCTTAAGCCTTCTGCAAACCCAATTGCAATGTCAATGCGCAAGTCTAAAGGAAGTTTTTGTTTACTGCCATGGACAATGCTCTCGAGGCTCCCATTAGCAGCAAATTCAAATACTAACGTTGGAACATCCATCCCAGGGCAGCAACCATAGAGCTTGAGGATGTTCTTGTGGATCAGTTCTTTATGGACTTCTATTATCACCTCAAACTCCCGCCTCAGACTATTATTGCTTAGCGTGATAAAGGTCTTAACTGCCACCATGGTATTGTCAGGAAGAGTTCCTTTGTAGGCTTTACAAAATCTTCCGGTACCAAGAAACTCTGAATTGTTTTTTGTGATTTTCTGTATTTCCGCCTTTGTGAAAATCGTTAGGCCCCTGACATTCTGTAGGTGTGAGCCACCATTCCTCACGAAATTCCTGCGTGCTTTCCTGCTAAAGATATTCAAGTTTTTTAGCTTCTCCAAGAAGCTAGATTTAGAGCCGAAAATGCTTGTTCCTGGTCGGTTAACCTTTCGCTCCGTATCTTGTGCTTCCCGTAATGACCATTGATCTGCATTTTCTTGACCCTGCTGGCAGTGATCTTCCGTTTCTGGGCGTTCATTGATATCCTTTATAAGGCTCTCAGCTACAAGCTTTCCAATTATTTTCCCAGACTGTTCCTCGAGTAAGCTTGGCTGCAGCTCGGCTAGTGAACTGCTCATGCCAGTTTGGCATGAATAGTCAGCTCTTGCTGTTTTATCAAGCCTATCAATTATGTGCTGCACAGCTGGTCTCTTCTTTGGGTCCAAGTCCATGCACTCTATCCCGATCTTAGTGCATACTCTTACTTGTTCTAACTGTGTGTGCCCCTCTGGTGCCTGATCCAGTCGATTCATCCAACTTTCAACTACCTACAAAGTAGCAATCATGAGTTACTATCTGTTTTACATACTTGCACAAGGTGGTCAACCAAAAAAGAAAAATATGCTTAAAATAACATCACAAAAAGCAAAACATATGGTTGTTAATGTGGTGATCTTTTTTTTTTATAAAATGGACCTGAACGGACACATAAGAATGATAGAACATTAAATCATCATAACTATACCTAATTAGATTGCATATGTATATAAATAGGTCAAATACCTCGACACATGATAGCTAGCAGCAATTCTAGATAACTTCCGAAATAAATTATCATAACTTTACTCCTAGGTTTATTACCTGTATTTTGATCCAAGAAATATATAAATCCCTCTTTCTTCTCGATGTCTTTTCCATAGCTTTAGTTATGTAATAGTATGACTTAAGAGCAATAAACTTTTCACATATAAATTGACGAAGGATGAACTTTGATTCCGCATATTGATTTATTGCCATGCACAACTAAAATCCACCTGTTGTGCTTAGTACAACACAATTGTTGAGTGCTGTTCTTCAGAACCTTAGTCTGAGTGTTATCTCCTCTGTTTTTCTACCTTGCCTGGTTTCTCCTTATTTGTCTCCAGCTTGCAGCATAGGTTCCTTTCTAGCTGCTGTTTGGTAGCTTAGGTGCCATTTACCTACTTGGTTTGTTCTGTTGGTGGAGGATCGTTTTGGCTGTAAAAAACTACTTTGGTTTCTTCAATGAAATCAAGGGAGAAAATCCCTTTCAATAAAGAAAATGCTTAAATTGTTCTTACTTTCTCCTCTTCAAAATATCCCTTTGCTCCTGTCAGTATCTCCATGATTATAACACCAAGACTATATATGTCTGACGCGAATGCGATGTGCCCTCTATAGATTTCTGGAGCCAAGTACCCCCTAGGGAAGATCATATAAAGTTTGATCAATGAATGCCCAAACAAAACGTGAAGTCCCAAATAACCAAAATGAAGAGCTTCCAACATGCTGGCTTACTGAGATCCACACAGATGTTGAGTAACAGCTCGGGTTTGCCCTTCATCAAAACACCGCGAGAGACCAAAATCAGCAATTTTGGGTACCATGCCAATCTCAAGCAGGACATTAGCAGGCTTAAGGTCCAAATGAAGAATGCGCTTCTCATGAAGGTAATGTAAGCCTTCACATATTCCCCTAATTATTCGATAGCGCTCTCTCCATTCAAGTCCGCAAGATGCATCTGTACACGAAAGAGACGGATTTTGTATTTTATGAATTAGTTTAGATTGACGGAAAAAATGTAATAGAGTAAATAAATATGGAAGAAATAGATTATGATGCTACCAGACATATGCTTCTCAAGACTCCCTTTGGGTACAAACTCAAAACAGAGTAACCAGTTTCGTACATCTGCCATGACAAGCTTCCCCTCATATTCTGCCATTTTTCCTTGTGTGTCAGCACAATACCCCAGAAAACGTACTATGTTCTTGTGCTTGGTCTTCATTAAGCATTTAACCTCTCTGTGGAATTTACTCTCAGTAATATCAACTGTGTTTGACAGCTTCTTTACAGCAACCGTCCGTTTTCCGATCATTCCCTGTGGTTGCGAACCATATTGTCAATATCCTCGGCTTGAGTGTGCCTCGTGATGTGATTGTAGTGTGCATATATAGTTTAGTTTGCCGAATTCATTAAAAAGAAAAGAGTATTCCTTTAACAAGACAAAATACTATCCATTTTCATTAATCAATAAAACAGTTAATTAACAAATTGCCGTGATCGTAGCGATAATCTGAAGTACAAATGAAAGTCTTATGTCCCACCAAATCCCAATTTGGCGCCTCC